CTGGTTAGACTTAGAACATTTTGGTTTTTATGTTTGCCTGAATCCAGGAATATGAAAGATAAATATTTTCTCGCTGCTTTTTTAATTGTTCATTCTGTAGGCCTCCCAGTAACACTGGATGCTGGAGTAAGTACCTGGACAGTGGGAAAGAACCTGGACCCCTTGTAGTTTTAAATCCTGTTTTCACACCTGAACCCCAAACCAAAGATCAGGAGGCTGAAAAAGATCCAACTCAGCCCACGGAGGAAGAAGGCAAAGTTAAACCCGAATGCCAAGAAGACAGCGTTGAAAAGTCCAGAGAGACAGACAGCTCCAGCTGCTGAGCCGGATCCAGGAGGCTGACTTGTTCCGAAGTCCTTTGCAATAAGCACACGATTAGTTCTGGTGTCTTGGCAAGGGCTACAGACATTCTGTTGTTGTAACTCTGTTCAGAATACAGGTTCTTTTTAAATGTCACTTTATAAGTAGTTTAACGATAAGCATACGTAAACTGTTTAGCAAAATGCACACTCTAAGTAGTTTTTGATCTTTATAGGGTAAGATTTTTCCTAGTTACTATATTAAGTGTGGCTTCTTTTGAAAAGGTTACAAAAACTCCAGATGTTGGTATCTTTTTAGGTAATATAATGTGCATACCACTCATCAAATGTAATACTGAACGTTTTTGGTCCTTGTGGATAACTGGATAAACAGTGCTTACTACGTGCAATGTCAAGGCTCTGCAAAGAAGCTTCTGTATTGAGCCTGATGCTCTTCTGAAGGCAAGTTGCAGTCGCAATGTGGCCTACCAGTTCCTTTCTCAGGAATGCTGAGGTGAGCTTAAAATGCAGGAGCTGGCATCAAGTTAGTGGTCCCATGTTAGATCCACATGTTGTTAATTGTGGGATGAAAAATGCATGCTGTTAATCCTGTGCAAAGCTGCCCAAGGACTTTGGGGGGAATCCTTGGGTAGCCTGAAGCAAGATAAGGGGAATGCTGAACTCCAGACCTTGAATCCAGCCCAGTATGACCTTGGTAAGCCATGTGCTCTGTGCTGTGAGTTAACTGTGTTTTCTCATGTCCTAATATGGCACAAGTACCTTGTTTTATCAGAGTTCTTACGTACAGTGAAGACAAGCACACACTTTTCTTGCTTTGCTGCTGGTCTACATTATGCAGGTGGTTTATGTTTTTTTGTTTTTCGTTTTTTTAAAGAAATTAAGTGGTAGTTAGTCTCTAAAAATACAATGTTTCAGGCTACCACAGTGCAAAAATAGAAATGTGATCAGGGATTTTTTTTTTTTTTCACTTATGCAGCTTTTCAAAGTTGATTGTTTCAAAATTGGTGTTTATTTAAAATACGTGGTAATGTACTTGAATGCATTTTTTTTATGACAATGATTCAGTAATGGTAATTTTACTATTAAAGAAAGTGAAAGGTTTGGTTTTGTTAGCATGGCTCAGCATGTAGCTGTCAGGTGTTTCTCACCTAAGGGCAAAAGAAAATGATAGTAATAATTTCAGTAGTTGCATTTCATTTTTGCACGTTTGCTAAGCATAGGTTTGAAGAGGTGGCTGGGCAGGTAAATGTACTTCCTCGACTCGCAGATCGTTATCTTTCTGTAGGTTTGTTAGGCTTGACTGTTCCATAATCTTCCAGTGATGATTTTACAGTTCCTTATCCGTTTAGCTCACGAGGAATTAAGATGTAGTGTTTTTCAACTGTGATTTTCTCTGACTGAATAATACTGCTATATGATACGCTAACTGAAAACTGTATTAATTCACTGAAATCAGTTCTGTCTTGCTGTGATTTGAACTCTTCTCACCACAACTTATTAAAATGCACCAACAGTTTCCCATGAAGGGTCCTTGTGGTTATCGACATTGTTGGTTTATTTCCTCAAGCTTGACATTCTCTAACAGGATACTTGTGTGAGAGGGGATCGCTTTAGTAGTTTTTAATAATCCACAAAATGGTTTGTTTGCGGAGTCTTATGCCGTGTTTCTTTAGGCTCTCCTCCCTGTGTCTGTCCTCAAGCCTTTGGCGGGTACCTTAGATACGTGCGAATACCCAGCCGCACACGCTGGTGGTTCCGTATTTCATCACACACCAGCAGAACGTTAACCATTATTTCTCAGGTGGGCAGTTCAGCATTTGGTGAGATGCGGTAGCTGGCCCAGTCAACGATCGCTTAGTGATCATACTTTGAAAATGTTCTTGCTCTTTTTTAAGGTACTTAGTTTCCTTCACCATGATCACACATGTTCTAAAGTCATTTGGCACAAAGGGGTTTGATGTAGGACCTCGACTCGCCCTTTTCTTTGTTTTTTCCCTTTTCACTTCAGTTTTGAGGAGGTTTTTGACCCCAGTGAGGTGCCATTAGCAGTCAGACCCCGATGGGAAGCTAGTGCATGTCTCCTCAACCTGTTTGTTGAGAAAATTA